CTCTCGCCCTTCTTCTCCCGGCGCTTTATGCTCTCAGCAACGGCTTGGAGGCGGCGAAAGCAAATGCAGGCAAGGTAAGGAGGGGAGGGGCGAGGCTCTTTACATATTTATGCAGGGGTAAGACGAAACCGCTGGGCGACGAAATCGGGGAAGTTTCCCTCAGATCCGGCGCATAAAATCCAGATCCGATCTCTCCGCCCACGCACCCACCTTCTCCACATTTAATCACGCAGACGGTTATGTCCCATCCACTGACACCACGTCACGCAGCAGCGGCAGCTCCCGAGAAGACCGCCTCAAAAGACACGCCGTTGTCAGCCGATGGAAGGGAAATACCCCCCAGTCGATTCCTTCTGAGCTAAGGAACCAGGCGCCGAGCCCGCTACGGTCCAGAGGTTCGAAGGCTGGGCCATTTATGGTCTCGACAGCCGCCTCAGGACGACAAAGTCAGGGATGACTATGGGCGAGCCTGTACATGGCCGAGGCCCAGGCAGGCGATTGCTTGGGATGCCCTAAGTCATGTCCGAGACCAGCAGGAGTTCTCTAAAGGGGATCCCACCGTAGGGAGGCACCGAGCCCCTGGGGCCAATCGAACGGCCCTGGCACCCGCTAGAGAAGCCTTCTGGTACTTTTTTGGAGCGCGTCTCTAGACCACTAGCCGACCCCTATCGAATGGGGCACGGGCCTCCACTCGGACTTACCAGATAAAAGCTCACCGGAAATGTCACCGCTCGCGCCCACCGAGGGTAGCCTGGCATGTTCCACCCCTCCTTCCGAACGAAAAGGATGCGCGAGGGTCGTACAAAAAGCTAGGGGAACTCCTGATCGCCCTCTCGCTATGTACGGAGGCTCGGGGGCTCTTCCTGCAACCTTGCCGAGACCCAGCGGCCTAGGCTCGCACACGAAGGGCTCGGCAAACAACCCCTCCTTCCGAACGAAAAGGATGCGCGAGGGTCGTACAAAAAGCCGTGTGAACTCCCGATCGCCCTCTCTCGCTTCGTCAAGGAGGCTCGGGGGCTCTTCCTGCAACCTTGCCGAGACCCAACGGCCTAGGCTCGCACATGAAGGGCTCGACAAACAACCCCTCCTTCCGAATGAAAAGGATGCGCGAGGGTCATACAAAAAGCCAGGGGAACTCCTGATCGCCCTCTCGCTACGTACGGAGGCTCGGGGGCTCTTCATGTAACCTTGCCGAGACCCAGCGGCCTAGGCTCGCACACGAAGGGCTCGGCAAACAACCCCTCCTTCCGAACAAAAAGGATGCGCGAGGGTCATACAAAAAGCCAGGGGAACTCCTGATCGCCCTCTCGCTACGTACGGAGGCTCGGGGGCTCTTCCTGCAACCTTACCGAGACCCAGCGGCCTAGGCTCGCACACGAAGGGCTCGGCAAACAACCCCTCCTTCCGAACGAAAAGGATGCGCGAGGGTCGTACAAAAAGCCAGGAGAACTCCTGACCGCCCTCTCGCTCCGTGCGGAGGCTCGGGGGCTCTTCCTGCAAACCTTGCCGAGACCCAGCGACCTAGGATCGCACGTGAGGGCTCAGCAGGCTCGGGGGCTCCTCCTGCACCCCAAACGAAAACAAGCGACCCGAGCTCGCTCTCATGGGTCTAGCAAATGCGATAGAGTGCCTTACTCAACGAAGGAAAAGCCCTAAAGGAGTAAACTCACTCCTCTAAGGCCTCGGGGGCTACACCCGGCGGGTGCGCTCGTGCGCACCCACCAGAATCGCGAGTATAAAACAAACCCGACAAGAGCCACTGAGAAACAAAAGTCTCAAAAAAACCTCGGGGAGAGTATCCCACACTCCCGCCCGAGGCTCGAGGGCTACTGTCGGATACCAGAAAATGGGGTACCCCAAGCAAAGATCGAAAAACTGCTTAGACCCTAAGAACAGAACCAATGGAATAAACAAACGAGGTCTCGACCAAAATCTCCGATTCGCCCGAGACCCCGTCGCCGAGCCCCAGCGGAAGCGAACGATTCTCCGACTCGCCCGAGACCGCCTCGCCGAGGCCCCCTCGTCGAGGCCCCCTCGCCCGGGGCCTCGGAAGAAGTGCCGATTCTCCGATTCGCGCGAGGCCGGCTCGGCACCAGCCCCGTGACCGCCTCTTCGACCAAACTGCTCTGACCGAATGTCGCATCCAAGCGCCCAACCACTCCGACAGACGCACGATGGCATAGTACAGCGAAGTGACCGACTACACGCCAGTCGCGTCAACCTCCTGCCATCTGCGACGGCACAGAGCAGGGGTTACCGACCACTGTGCTGCCTAACTCCTGCACCAAGGACATCGCAACGTGGGGAGTCAGAACGGGTTCCTGTAGCCTCGGAATCAGCGGACCGACCGCTCTGGCTCGCCCGAGCCCTCTCGACAGGGCCTCGGATTCACTGATCTTACTCTGCCTCGCCCGTCCACCTCGCCTGAGACCCCCCCGATAGGGCCTCGGACGAATTGGCCGCGCTCCGCCTCGCCCGAGGCCGGGCTCGTCCCGCAACCTCGTCGCCTCAGCCTCAAAAGTCTCTCTGGCAGGCTGTCGCATCCGATTAAATGCACTCAGCTGCACCCGCTACGTAAGCCACGATCGGCAGTGCGCTGCAACAGGAGCGACGGGACAACGGTCAGATCACCTTTTTTACCATCCCTTACTGACAATACAGGTACCGTATCCTGTAGGCGCACGTCTCGCACTATTCCGCCTGATGGCCGCTGAGACCCGCATCTGCACCTGGGTCACTTCTCAGGCCTGAGCACGGCAGGCCTCGACACAACAGGCCTCGGCACGACCGGCTACGATGGCCGCCGAGCCTCTGCAATCCACCAAGTCAACAAATGCGCAGCATGTTACTTGCAGTGGAGACCATACCGATTAGACATCTACGGGAACTCCCACGACAACGCCATGCTGCTCCAGGAGTAAAAACGTCATCGAATAGTCCGCTCCACGTGTAGCTCTCTTATGTACTCCTGGTTTCCTCCCTATGGCTATAAAAGGAGGCGGCCAGGACCGTTTCTAAGGATGGCGGATAGAGTCACGAACACTCACACGAACAACATGCCGCATTCTATAATTCATATCACCTCCCCTCACAGAGACTTGGGACGAACTCCCTCTCTCGCATAGCTTGTAACCCCCTACTACGAGCACCCCGGTGCAAGGAATACAAGAACATCTTCTCAGACTGGATGTAGGGCATCCATTGCCCGAACCAGTATAAACCTTGTGTCTCTTTGCATCACCATCCGGAATTGGGAGCACGCGGCACAAATTCACTAGTCGGTTAAGGACCCCCGGTTCTGAAACACCGACAGGCGATGAAGCCAAAGGTCCAAAGATGAGCCAACCGGCTTTGATACCAATTGAAAGGATCGTGACACCTAAGAGGAGGGGGTGGATTAGACAACTTAAAACTCTAACTCTAAACTATGACATCTTTTTCTATCTTTAGCAAAAACCTATGCAAAAGATAAACTATCTAAATGTGCAACTATGATTTTGCTAGTGTGTTGCTATCTCTACCGCAAAAAGAAGTTATGCAACCTAGGTTCTAAACTTATCAACTAGCCTATCACTAAGCTAGGAAAGTAAAGCACAAACCAAGATTGCAATGTAAATGCAAAAGCTAAAGAGTAAGGTAGAGATATGCAAACTCCCGTCAACGACTCCGGTATTTTTACCGAGGTATCGAGAAGCGCGTAAGCTTCTCCCTAGTCCTCGTTGGAGACCCTCGCAAGGAATCCCACGCAAGGGTCAAGCTCCCGGTCGGGTAACTCCATGGATAGCCTCGGACCTTCCTCACGCGCAAGTGAGTCTCCGACGTGTCTTCCGGCAAGCCTCTCCCGGATGCTCCCCGCCGTCTTCACTATCAAGCTTCGAGCCGAAACGACGCGGGCCTTGTTCCCTCCGTACACGGTGGCGGCCACACCACAAACGCGGTTGGTGCGGTCTCGTAAGACTACAAGCCCTCCGATGTACAACAATGGTGCGCGCAAGCACCGAGTGGTAAGAGGTGTGCAAACCTCACTAAATACTAAGCCTAAACCTAGAGCAAGCGCATAAGCGGTGGTCTAACTAACCTAAGCACTTCGCAAAGCACCTACGCTAATCACCGAATGTATCACTAAGCACTTAGCAAGTGGAGAGCTCTAAAATGGTGTACCAACACCCTTGATATGTTTTCTCACCTCTTCACCCTCCAAATGGCCGGTTGGGGGGGTCTATTTATAAGCCCCATGGAGAGACTAGCCGTTGGAACAAAGCCTAGCAATTATGGCTAGCACCGGACGCGATTTGCGCCGGCAGCGGACGCGTCCGGTCACTCACAACGGTCACCTAGCCTTCGGCACGTTCCACTGATTGGACTCTGATAGAGTCCGGTCGGCGTAGCGCCTCTCCGGAACCTCTCTACATGACGATCGGACGTTACTGTTCCTGCGTCCGGTCGATCATCCTTCAGCGTTCGGTCAGTGCTGAGACAGTGAACAGAGTCAACGTCGCGTCCAATCACTTGAGTCCTCAGTGTCCGATCACACGGGGGCGCTCACGTTAGGGTTTACCACCGGACGCGTTCGGTCAATGAGTTCAGTCAGAGCGTCCGGTCACACAAAAACCCTTTCTTCTCTTGTCTTTTTGAGATCTTTGTGCCCGGCTTGTTCCATCTTGTGTCTTAGACTTGCTTGATCTTGTAGGTCTTCTTTGTAGCTTCAAATGTCTTGCTTGAGGTGTTGATCATCCGCATCCCACCGTTGCCTGAGTCCAAAACACATTTGCACTCTATTGCACTACAAAACAAACACTTGTAAACTTATTAGTCCAATTTGATTATGTTGATCATCAAACACCAAAATCCAAACTAAATGGCCCAAGGTTCTATTTTCCTTACACTCAGCACTCATTGATATATAGAGATTATTAATTGATTGATCCATGCACATGCATTCTTCTACCAAATACAGTACTTTCTTCTAGTCTGATTAATCTCACAAATACTCCTTCCAGCTCAAGGGGCCGCCTCCGAGTTAAAACACGGACAGGTTATCAAGCAACAATACCACAAATTCTGGGAACTAGTGCGAGACCTGACTGACTTGTGCCCAGGCTAACACAATAATCAATCATGCAGTTGAACTGCGCAGTGGCAACATCCAACATGAAATGTGACAGAATAGCAGAACCATGCTGTATATTACCATCTACAAGTTTGTAACTTAGAGAAGCAACCAAACCTACAATGGAACAAGAGTCAGCCTCCTCACACAAAAAAACACACCTCATCTCACAAATGCTTCCATCCTCTCCATTTCATCACCCAACATGTTCTCAATGTAAATCAAAGTTCAGCTAGGCGCTAGGCGGAATCTAGGCGCTAACCCATTGCCTAGCGCCTAATCGGGAGTACTCGGTCCTAGGCGCTCCTAGGCGTTTTGGCAATATAGCAATAAATTATATATATATATATATATATATATATATATATATATATATATATATATATATATATATATATATATATATATATATTATGTATATAACTAGTAGTTAGTAAATTAGTCAATAGACAGCTAGCTGTTTATAAAAAAATAGAAAACACTAAGTTGTGACTTATCTGGATGATTTCAGCAGCCTTCCATCCATGAGCACACCATATCAACAGCTGGTAATTACAATACAAGTGGATAGGACAGTAATACAAGTGCACAACACCGGGGCGGATCTGCAGCCCAGGCCTCTAGGGCCCAGGCCCTAGTCGTTGGGCCATCAACACCACATACCCCATGTAGTTTCAGCTCAATAATGAAGGCCCAGGCAACAACAAACCTAACCCTCAGCCTCTGCTCCTATCCGCCTCCCTCCGTCCCTCGCATGAGTGCGCGCCCGCAGCCGCACCCACGCCGCCGCACAGGAGGAGGCGAGGAGCCTGCCAGCCGCCTGTCGGCGCCACCTAGCCGGACAGCGCTGCGCCGCACGCTATTCCGCGGCGCACCAAGCCCTCCCGCCGCGCCGCTGCCCAGGCGCCCATCCCATCCTGGCCCCGGCATCCCGCAGGCGCAAGGTGCGGGCCACACCACCGCAGAGCGCCGCGCCGGCCGTCCCTGCCCTCCAGGCTCCAGCTCCAGCTGGCTCGAGCCCGGCGCCGGCGGCCCCTGCCCTCCAACAGTCCAGCTCCAGGCCCCTTTGGCCGCCCTCCGCGCCGCCTAGCGCCGCGATGCGCGACTATGCCCCTAGTCGCGGCGACGGGCTTCGCCCAGCGACTAGGCGCGCGTAGTCGCCGAGTAGTCGCCGCCTAGCCGAACTTTGATGTAAATTGACCTTCCAGAATAATACACCCACTCATGATCCAATACATTATACAGTGGTCAGCATCTATTCCTGCAGAAGGAGACACAGGAAGACATACTGGCTACTGCCCACCACGAATGCTGTGCCAGAATCATTTAGCTGGTTTCCATTGCTGCAGCATGGTACTTGTCCAAGTCTGCGTCCAGATCTTCAGCAGAAACTTTCTCACCACGACCCTCTCCCCTCCCCCTCCCTCTCCCACGCCCACGCCCACCATGCCCACCACGCCCTTGCCCACGCCCACCAAATCCACCTCTGCTCTGAGGCCATCCTCCAGCACCACCTCTTCCAGGCCCACTGCAAAATTTCAGTGCTGGTTTCTTACTCCAGATCTTTATAGAAGAGAAAAAAAAGACACTAGGATGCAAAACATAGTCAAAACTGTTGACTCACAAGACAATGCAATCTTAGATTAGCAATCACAGTAACTAAGACTCAGGTTCCAATTCCATCACATGTTTGACAGATTTCGCACACTCCCAAACCACTCATTTATCATGTGGAGGCAACATTTATGAGCATTAGTTTCCAGGTGATTGTCAAATGTCAACAAAAAGCTTAATACCATGGGTGCTATATATACTTCTGTCACTAATCTGAGCATGTGACTTATATCTATTTCCCCACATGACATAAAAGAGATGTAGCTTTTTGTTTGTTCCCCCGGGAGTTTTAATATGAGTCCCCAGATAAAAGACAAATCCCTGCTCTGCTTGCACTATCAGCACACCTGTGTACTGTAGAAACCATGCTGCAGAGTTGAAATTCTAACAGAGCATGCATTTGTGGAATGATAGTGAAGCTAATGACTGAAAAGCAGCACAGTAGTCTTGGAAAGCTATTTTGCAGGTGCTATTTCATCAGGGGAGAAAAATACACTGCGTATGGCAAAGAACGATGGTACTAACTGACTTTTTGAAAGCCAAATTGAAGTTTCCAGCTGGCGGATTGAAGGCGAAGATAGCAGTTGGTGGCGGTAGAGCCTCAATGTTTGTCCCAATGATCTCAATCTTCATAGGGTTGCCATCAAGCTGCATATTGTTGTACCTCTTAACGGCAGCTAAAGCATCAGACCTTGAGAAGACGACCTCTGCAGTTCCCTGCCAACGTTAAGCTACAGTAATTAATGAGCATTTTCCATGCAAAAAAAAGGTAATGAATGAGCATTTGAGGCTGATGAGACAGAAAACAATGTGCATCACCCTCACAAATTTCTGTGCTATCAATGTGTAAACAGCCGCCGAATTTTTTACTTTTTAGCCCTTTTTTTGAAAGTTTCTCACAAATAGACCCCTGGAGGAAATATTTCAGAATCTGGGCCCTTAGCTCGGCGCCATCGATGCTGGTGCCGAGCTAACACGTCACATCTCGGCGCCAGCGTCCTTGGCGCCGAGGTCTTGGGCTCGACGCAGACATGACGCTGACTTGGCAGGCAGCTCGGCGCCAGTCACCCTGGCGCCGAGCATGCAGTTCTAGGCCTCGAGCGCCGTGCACTCGTGCTGCCATTCACCACCGTGCAGCGTGGAGTGCAGATGTTGGTATCTTGAAAAGGGTCACGTCGCCTAGCTACTGGCAATGCGTGCACGGTCAAGCATGGAGACTTGCCCCGCGCTGCACGGCACCTGGAAATCACATCAGCTTTTTACTGTGTTAGGCCAAGTGCCGTCACTGGCTTTTTACTGGATGGATGGCAGAGGAGAAAAGAAAAGCACTTGCGTCAACTCATTGGAAAAACACTGCGGCCACGCACTTCTCCCTATGACGTGCTTGAACAAGTTATCTTCCAGCAACTTATGAAACGTAGCACTTATTTTCTTCGCTCAAAGTCACGTGCTTGAACAAGTTATCTTCCACAACTTATGAAAAAAATCAAATGGTAGTACACTCTTATTTTATTCACAAGCACCCTAAAATGATTCTTCGAACTTCTCTTTATATACCACGTTCATCCTGCAAAAAGTGTCATTCTAGTTTTAGTCAAACAATATTAAACTTTAACTAAATTTATACAGAAAAACACAAATTTGAATAATACCAAATAAATATCCATAGTTTCATCGCTGGATATATTTTCATAGAAAATCTTATTTGTTGTTACAAATATTGACAATCTTCTCTTTACACTTGGTTAAACATCAAACTTTGACTTAGGAAAAAACTTAAATGTTACTATTTGCGAAACATAGGAAATACATGGTAAATCTTGTGGTTATACTATGAGTTAAATGCACCAGCGGCCCTCAAACTTGTAGGCGTGTGTCACATAGGTCCATGAACTTGGAAAATGCATTTCTAGGTCACTAAACTTGTTAAGTGGTGCACCACAGGCCCATACCAGCCACGTGGACATTTTTTGCTGACGTGGCATGCTAGTATGACATATAAATGCACCAGCGGCCCTCAAACTTGTAGACGTGTGTCACATAGGTCCATGAACTTGGAAAATGTATTTCTGGGTCACTAAACTTGTTAAGTGGTGCACCGCAGGCCCATACCAACCACGTGGACATTTTTTTGCTGACATGACAAACTAGTATGACATATAATTTTTATTTAACTCCTCACATCTATTTTTCTCATAAAAAATAGACCCAGCGCTCACCCTGCTCACGAACGCACCGAATAGGGAGGCTTCAGCGACACTGCTCCATGCTCGACAAGAAGAAGCGCTGGCCGCGGCCGCTGCCGTCGGGGGCGGGCGTGGAGTCCGGCTGCTCCTCTGTAACGCCCGTAGGGAGGCTATGCGCCTTGGCGGGTTCCTTGGCATTCCTGGACAGCGCGTCGGCGTACTCCTCCGCCGTGCTGTAGCTCCTCATCTTGGCCTTGTCGAAGCCTAGTTTCTAGAGTCGTTGCTTGATGAAGGAGCCCTCTTGGTACCCGATGAAGGCCCCGGTCCGCTGGAGCTCTCTCACGTCGGTCACCGCCGGCTGGAGCTTCTGGACCGTCAGCATCGACGTCAGGCTTGCCGTGTAGCTCGATGTCAGGATCAGGACAACGAACACCCAGATGATCACCACGAACCTCGACAGGTTGCTCTCCAGCTTCTCCTCTGCACGATAATGATGCAAAGCTCAATCTTTCAGCCATTGTTCTTGTTCAAGAAAGAAACTAAAGTTATTGGTGCTGAAGCGGATTCGTGCGCGCGTACTTTGCGAGAAGACGAGCGTGGAGAAGGCGAAGTAGAAGTTGAGGCCGAACTGCTGCCACGGCGTGCCTCTGAATTCGGGGTTGATCCGGTGCTCGATCGCCCACACCATGAAGCCGGTGAAGCAGAAGAAGGCGAGGCTGGCGAGCCACAGGCTGGTGGTCAGCGGCTGCAGGAAGATCCACATGCTCGTGCTCGTCTCCGTGCGCACCGCCACCACCATCGACCACCTTGAGTCTGTGAACGACATACTGAAGTCCACCTTGCCGAACCTGCTCGCCGTGATTGTCATGTTGCCGACGACGATGTCCGCTAGCTGCAGTCACCATCGGTACGAACCGACAAAGCTTCTCGATCAGCACATATACACACCCTACATGCATGGCTGGTATCTACCATCTGTCCTGCTTGGTGTGTACTGACCTGTTCCGGCACCTGGGACACGAGGTTGTCGTAGGACTCGGAGCTATTGTCGTATGGCACGTACTGGTAGCTCACTGGATACGGCATGTACTTGCGGATGACCGCGTCGAACACATCGATGCAGTATCCTGTGATGTTTGCAGTTCAGTTGGTCGAGTCCCTTTGGACGCCGATGAACTCCTTGAACCCATGCTT